ATTGTGACCAAAACGTTTTCCAAAGGCTGTGATAGATTGGCTGCAAATGATGTCAGAGTGACGTCATGTTCGGCCGTTTTCGACCCGAAAAAAGGTTTCGCGGGAAGAGCTGTCAGGCCTATAGCTTTGAAAATACGGAAAAACGTTCAGACATAAAAGGTGTAGAATTAATAGGGCTTCAAACTTACCATCTCAAACTTTTGAAATTTTTGAATTTTTACCTCCAAAAATAAAATAAAACTATTTTTGAATATGATAGCAAAAAATCAAAAGTTTTTTTTCGAGTTTCGAAAAAAACAGAATAGGTATAGGTATGTGATAGCCCTTACTGACTTCAATTCACATACCAATTTTAAGATCGATACCTCTTTTTTGGCCAAGTTATAGCGAAAAACTGTTCAAAATTGATGACGTCAAATTTTCAAACTCAATTTTTAGCAATTCTAGACCATGTAGCGCAAAACAAAGACCACCATTAGACTCGCCGTGACGAGCTGCATCGAATCAGTACCCATACCTATTATGCAAAAAAATCAACTTTGAAATTTGACCTTTCTTAACCTGACATTGACCTGACCTCAACCTGGAAGTGACCTAAACCGTACCTGATGGTTTATAACCAACACCATTGAGTTGAAAATGAAACAATTGGCCATAAAATATGCGTCGAACAGCCCTAGTAAAATTAGGTTCATATGCTGACCCTTGGTGACCTGACCTGGTATTACCAGTGACCTCTCATAGCAACATCTGTACTATGCACCTAATGCCTAATCGCTGATTTTCGATAAAATGCGTTGTACTCGATGTTATAGCGCACTCCCTAGAAGACCCGTGAAAAGCACAACATTTTATCTTTGACCTGACCTGTGACGTCATCGGTGACCCGAGGTCAATAAAGTTAGATTTCCCTCGACAGATTGATTTCCCACGAAAAAATTGATAGGGCTTTCGAGCGCCGTTTGAATTTTGCGGATCCGTCCAGTAGTTTCGGAGATACGAGAAGGGGGGGGGGGGCAAAAAATAGCCCCCCGCCCCCCCCCCCCACCAGGTCGCGTTATAAGCAGACTCCACCAGGGCGCGGGTTTAACTTAGAGTAACAGATAGCCCTAAGCCCTCGCCGAGACGTTGCTCGTCACCACCTTCGTCTGACCGAGGAGTGCTTCAACGTCACCCGCTTAGCTCGGCTCCCGGGCCACGTAGCGACACGCGGAGGGCGGCATTGGAAAGACAAAAATAAAAATAAAAATTAGTACGAAAATACTTGGGTGTTAAACTTAAGGTCAGGTCACTACAGGTCACCCAAGATCAAATTTCGCCTTTTTCATCACTTTGACCAATTAACGCATAAATCTGGAACGAACAGAGCTAGCTATAACGACGGAAAACGCCTTTGATAGCTCTTCTAAACCTCTTTCTGAACAGTTTTCTCTGATTTTATCTTAGGCCAATGGTGTATCCCCCTGATTGGACCCCCTAATCGTTCGAACGTTGATCTACATGGAGTTTTGCAGGAAAAGTAACGTATTGCCCGTTTCGAAAGGAAGCCGCTTTTACTCAATTTGAAGGTCTTAGGTTAGGAATTTGTAAGTATATCACCCAGGTTAGGTCTATGACCCAAAAGCCAGGAACGTTTGGACCAGTGAGATTTTTTGTGGCGATAGACACCTTTTTAGGTCTAAACAATCAACTTCGAACTTTGACCTCACTTGACCTGACCTTTACCTGGCCTCGACCTGAAACTCATCCAGATGTGGTCCATATCACTAACTGAGTGTGCCCATTGCATTCTATGAACAAAACCCATAAAACATGTGTCGCACATGCCCTTTTATATAGTTCGTATTTGGTGACCTAATCTGACCTTGACCTTTGCATGACATTGTACGCAACGAATCTTGTCTTGGTATCCTAGGAACACGTTAGTTGGGCAATCAGTCTCAGTCCATTCTTCGGCAACTACGGTGCAAGGCCGATCCTACTGTAGAATCTTGCATTTTGTACCCTTGATCTGACCTTGACCTGACCTCTGACCTATTTAAGCAAAAAAAATCGGCTCTGAAGATCAGCCTTGTTGAGAGCTTTCGATTGCCGTTTTCCCCGTCTTTCTAAGACCATCCGTTCGGAAGTTAGACAAGGGGGCATAACCTGCCCCCCCCCCCAGCGGGGCGCGGGTTAACATTAGCCCCATGGGCGTTGCATGGATAGAATGGAATCAAAAGTCAGCAGTGCCCCTCCCCCCTTAAAGGGACCCTCCCACCTTAACATTAGATTTGAGTTGAGATAGCCAAAATGGGGTCCCTGGCTCACAATTACCGGTTTCGGCACTCACAACATCGAGAAATGCCTTAAATCGGAAATATTGAATTTCAAAATTGCAGCATTTTGATTCAGAGGGGCTAATGCTTAGGAATACCCCTCTGAATGTGTGACGTCAGCTCAAATATCTAACGATTTTTAAATGTTTGACTAAAACGTTTTGTAGCACGCGGTGGTATATGCTATTTGCGCGCAACATCTGCCGCAAACGCCGCACTTCTAAAATAAAGTCGCTAGAAACAGCGGAGATCCCAAAAAAGTAAACAAAAGTAAAAGTCTAATATCTTGAAAACCGGTGAATATTTTTCGATGAAATTTGGTAGATATTGGTTTTCGCTCTTTCTGAACCGAGCGACATCACTTTCATGCCAATTCATTGACTTTTTTGAAGGTGGGAGGGTCCCTTTAAGTGAAGGTGTTTCGCCTACTGCGTTTGCTGTATTTTCTTTCCAATATCTCGAGAGGCTTTTGCAGGTGTGAAGGTCTGTTTAGGCATCATCCTGTGGCCTGCCGGCCGTCCACAACTGTGTAGGTACTGGGTGACCAATGCCTGTGTCTATAGTTTGTTACGGGTTTTATGTTATAGGTGCCTTTTTACACTGGCGCATTGTGAGACACAACTTTAATCTACTGACACAGAGACCTGTCTGGAGAACTTTCCGTTTGTCTGATTCTCGCCCATCAAAATCTCCCCCATTCCATTTCGCTATGGCTCAGATCGCTTTCAAAATGCCCATTAGGTAAATCTAATTTTAGGTAGGGTAAATGAGATAATTCGCATAATCAAACTTATTAATTGAATTTCGAATTTCGATTAGATGGGCATTTTGAAAGCGATCTGAGCCATAGTGCATTTGTTCGCCCTGCCATTTCCAGCCTCGCCACCACCTCGCCTTGTGCGATTGGGTACTGCATCAGCCATCAGCCATCCCCACAGCCCGGGTGCGAAGTCTGCTCAAATGGATCCTGCGATCGGTTTTATAAATGCTCCCAGTCCACGCACTGTGCAGCCCCGGCTAAAGGGAAGGGAGGGGGTATGCCCCCTTATGCCGGCGCATGGGGTAGGTATGCGTAATGCGTACGCCCCCTTAGGGCCACTCTGAGGACCAAGCCCCTTGGTCAAGGCGCCCCTACATGAGCTAGAACTTCGTGCAAAAAACGTGTTTATGATCCGGTACAAAAAAGCATATTCATTCAGTTGCTACCCAAATTTCAGGTCTTTAGGTCAACCGCTGACCTCGGAGGTCAGGTCAAAGACCAAAAGATCGGGCATGTTTTTGTCGGTAAATAGCTTCGGTGAAGGCGGTCGAAGAGCAACTATTTTACATTCGATCGCTTTTGGGACGTCAATGCGCGGCGGATGACGTTTTCCGGGAAGTCTAATTAGGTCCACGGGCAGAGGTTAGATCAAAGCCGCCGGGAAGGTCAGGAAGTCGGTCGAAGAATTGTCATGAACTACCTACGTGTCTGTAAGTACTCCTCTCTCTCTCTCTCTCTCTCTCTCTCTCTCTCTCTCTCTCTCTCTCTCTCTCTCTCTCTCTCTCTCTCTCTCTCTCTCTCTCTCTCTCTCTCTCTCTCTCTCTCTCTCTCTCTCTCTCTCTCTCTCTCTCTCTCTCTCTCTCTCCTCTCTCTCTCTCTCTCTCTCTCTCTCTCTCTCTCTCTCTCTCTCTCTCTCTCTCTCTCTCTCTCTCTCTCTCTCTCTCTCTCTCTCTCTCTCTCTCTCTCTCTCTCTCTCTCTCTCTCTCTCTCTCTCTCTCTCTCTCTCTCTCTCTCTCTCTCTCTCTCTCTCTCTCTCTCTCTCTCTCTCTCTCTCTCTCTCTCTCTCTCTCTCTCTCTCTCTCTCTCTCTCTCTCTCTCTCTCTCTCTCTCTCTCTCTCTCTCTCTCTCTCTCTCTCTCTCTCTCTCTCTCTCTCTCTCTCTCTCTCTCTGTCTCTCTCTCTCTCTCTCTCTCTCTCTCTCTCTCTCTCTCTCTCTCCCTGTGATGAAGGCACCCATAACAATGTCTCGAGAATGTGAGCGAATCCTGGGGGTCGCGAATGCGTGTAGGAGTGCGTCGCTATCTTCATGGACATCCACTGACGATGCATCTGGGTGACTCCAAGCCACGTGTGACGTGCTAAAACAGCGGCTTCGTCATTGTTTCGGTTAGAATGACTCCGCACCCCGCGCAGTGCGCACATAGCCTACCGTACGCAACTACTATAGGTCCACAGACTGAGAAATCTGAAGTGCCGGGGGAGTGTAATTTTTTTTTCAGCTTGTGTTGAACGACGTCGTGAAACTGGCGCATAGTGTAGGAATGCGTTTTCCCAGCAACACCACCGTCTAAGCGACCGCGTCCCTCTGAAATTATGAATTTCAGGAGTGTCTTCTTCAGCCAACACGGAGGGATATGAAACTTCACCGACTAAACGGAAACACCTCAACATGGATGTGTTGAATAGATGCGGCTGTCAGCCATTTCAGAAAGTGGTCTTCTTTTGCGCGAATTCTTTGGCACGCAGTTCTCCGGACAAATTTTCTTCTTCGTTACACGAAATCATGTTTGGTCCTTTCAGAGACGTCTGAATTCTGAAACCCCCAGTCGGCAGGCATCTTATTATCACCTGTCCCCTGGCATTGGAGCCCCCCTCCCCCTCCCTGGGGTCTGGCGCGAGGCCAGCACGCACGGTCAGAGAAACTTCGGAGCCGTTTTGTTGATATTGCCGTAAATAAAAGCCAGTCGGGACGCCGTCACGGAGCTTTGTCTGTAGCGTTCGTTGCGCGGCGTACAGAGCCCATCGACGCACACCACCTCCAGAGCAAACCGCCAGGTCGACCGGGAACGTTATTTGACACACACACGCGACACACGCGAGGGCACAGGCAGACGCACGGGGACCCCGGTGGGCCCGCAGCTCGCGCGCACCGCACGGGACCGCGGTGGCCACTGACCCCGCGCAGACGGCGGTACAGACGACACACGGACAAACGGCGCGAATGGCCGGCGGCGGCGGCGGCGGGCGCTCGCAGGCTACCCAGTGTGGCCACCGACCGACCTACCAGCCACAGCGACCGCAGGTAAGACCAGACGCTGGCAACTCGCCGCGTCCCGCTACCAAACTACTACTGAACCCACGCCGAAAAACGCAACATCGAAAACTGAACGCAACGAAAAAATTCTGATCGCCGAACGGTGCATCGCCGAACAGTCCGAAAAATTCGATGCGCCGAAAGCGGGACATGTACACTGGCACGTCGTTTGCGCACGGCGACTACTTAACCCTGCCACCAGTTACTCACCGGATTTGTATGCGTGTGTGTCTGTGTGTGTACAGCTCCCCGTCGGTCGCCAGCCTTACCGCCTCCAGTACTCTACCAGCGTCTGCCGGCCCTGTCGCGGTGCATCGCTCCGGCACCCACCTGAGAGTAATCGAAGGAGCCGCCGCCGCCGCTCTGCCGCCGATCCCTGGACCGGGAGCGGCTGCGGGACCGGTCCCGGCCGCCCCGCTCCCGAGAGCGGCCCTTGCCCCGAGAGTGGTGACGGTCGCGGTCGCGCGACTTGCCCTTCCCTCGCTCCTGATCACGTCCCCTGCTCTTGTCGCGCGACCGGCTTCTGTCGCGCGAGTGTTTCTTGCTGTGGCTCTTCCTGCGCTCGGAGCGGTCGTCGCTGCGGGAGCGGCGCCGCCGATCGCCTGACGAGCGTCGCTCGCGGCGCTGCGAGCGCGACGTGCGACGCTCCTTCTTTCGCCGGCGTCCGCCGCTGTCCCGGCGGTGGCGCTTTTTGCGTTTCTCGCCGCTGCGGTGTCGGGAGCGGTGCCCGCTGCCGCCGCCGCCGGCCGGCTCTGGCGAGTCGGCGCTCGACGACCAGCTGGAGACGCTCGGGTCGTCGACGGCCTCCAGCGACTCGGTGAGGCCAGCAGTCACCTCCGGCAGCTCGTCCTCCAGGTCGACCAGCTCGGGCTCGCGCCGGCTGCCCTCGTCCCCGCTGGGCAGCGGCGACACGGAGGCCGGCGGCGGAGAGTCCGCCGCCGGCCGGGCGCGCTCACCGCGGCCCGGTGTGCCGCTCGAGTGGCGTCTGGCGGCGCGGCCCGGCGTGCCGCTGCCAGAGGCGCGCCGGCCGGCGGCGCCCTCGCGCTCCCCGTCCGAGATGTCCATGTCGTGCGAGTCGTGGTCGTCGCCGGCGGGCAGGTCGGTCGGCGGCGGCCGGTAGTCGGCGTCGGCGCGGCGCCGGTAGTCGCGGTCCTCCGTCACCTGCGAGATGAAGTCGTCGACGCTCTTGTCCCAGGCGCCGTGGTCGGAGCTGGTGCTGGCAGCGGCAGTGGGTGGCGCGGTGACGGGCGCCGGCACGGGGACCGGCGGCGGCTGGCGGAGGTCCAGGTCGGCGGGCGGTGGCACCGGCGCCGGCGCCGGCGGCGGCACAGTCGGCAGCACCCGGTGGTCCGTGTCCGCCGAGAACGGCAGACGAGCCTCGTCCACCGCCTTAAACGCGGGGGGCAGGTCAATCTGCGAATTATAGGCGCTGTTACCTTTCTCAAAGGGCGGCGGCGAGCAGGGCGCGTCCACTGCGTCCTCCTGCCAGGGGTGGTCGGCGTGCAGAGCCGGCGGCGGCCGGCTCGGCCACAGCTCGGCGCCCACCGGCGGCGGCGGCTGGCTGACGTCCGGCAGCGCCGGCGGCGGGCGCGTCAGGTCCAGGCCCGGGATGTGGGCGGCGGCGGCGGCGGCGGGGGCGGCCGCCGGCGGCGGCTGCAGCTGCCGGCCGATGAGCCGCATCAGGTCCGAGAGCGGCTGGCTGGCAGCGCCGCCGCCGCCGCTGGCGCCCGACTCGTACGTGTCCTCATCCTGCAACATGACGGGCGCGCGCGCCGTGGTGCCGCGTCAGTGGACATCACTCGCAGAGGAACTTAACGGACACGTACTGTTAGATTATAGCTTATGCAAAAACCCTCAAAGGCTTTACTTTTTAGCATACCAGAAGCAATTGAAGTAACTAAAAGACAAATGCAGAAACGAGTTAAGTAATGCAAAGTTAAGAATGACTCTTCCTCCCCAGCAATCATCGGGGTGCCCCTGTTTGTTTATTAAAGCTTTAGGGCGCGTCAACTGCCCCGGCGGCCGCCACTCACGAAGTCGTTGTCGTCTGCCAGCGGGGTGTTCTGGGAGGAGAAGGTGCCGCCCTGCTGCACGCCCGTCACCACGGCGATGGCTGACTGTTCGGAGAGCTGCGGCGGCGGCGGCGGCGGCACAGGCGGTGGCGTGTCGGCCGAGCGACCCAGCAGCTCGGCCGCCAGATTCGCCGGGAAAGAGGAGCCCATTCCGAGAAACGAGCCGGAGCTGGCCGCTGGGAACTCGGCGCCGTCCTCGGCCACGACGGTCGGCTGCCGCCACGAACAGACGGGGTGGGGGTGTCAGGAGGGAGGCGGCACAGACCGCTGGGCCGGCCAGCTCAGCCTCATTGACCGGACAGACGGGGTGGGGGTGTCAGGAGGGAGGCGGCACAGACCGCTGGGCCGGCCAGCTCAGCCTCATTGACCGGACAGACGGGGTAGGGGTGTCAGGAGGGAGGCGGCACAGACCGCTGGGCCGGCCAGCTCAGCCTCATTGACCGGCGGGACAACCGATATAGACGTCTGACGAAGAGGGTCTGAGACCGAGCACAGCAGCAAAGAAAGATGCGTCTGCATGAAACACGTTCTCAGCCTCAACTAGCAACCAGCCACAGCAAGCCACAGTAAACATAAGAATGACCATTTGTTCAATGATATAGACCATTCATCATGACCATCATGATTTCACCATGATGGTCATGATTAATTGATTAAATGACCATGATAAAAAAGCTCAGAAACACCGGCAACCATCAGCGCTTGGGTTGAACCGTCTTCAACATACACCGATTATTACGATTAAACAGTAGCTAAATCGCTAGTTTTCTTTTTCACAGCTTCTTTCCCAAGTTACACCAATGAACAGTCACTCAGTTCAGCACATGATTTTTTCCGCTAAAGCTAAACTTTTCGCGGCAATCTTTACAATTAACAGCATCATGCTAGGGGATACCGCGTAGTTAGAGGTAAAAAGAGAACAATGTACAAATGCATGTTATGCATCAAAATGTCCGACGCTGCATGGCAGGTGCTTCACTGCATGTATTGACCGTCGGCAGTTTTGACATTCATAAACATTTGGAAGTCCTCTGGTGAGTTCCACCTATTGGGGCATTCCACGTCAAATCGAACAAAAATCGGCTGTTTTGCACCTTACCATCAGCGATTTCATTATAAATTTGTGAGCGAGTTCCTGTGTCGCCCCGGACATTACATTGATGTTTTTTGCACATTTTGACCACAGGTCTTCTAAATATAGGGCATCAAATTTTTACAAAATGTTGCATCTTTATATTTTTGAACGACCATAACTTTGGTTGTACTTGTTTGATTTGAATGAAATAAACCTTACTGTTTAGGTAATTTCTTAAGCATTTGTTTAGAATTGCATCGACTTAAATATATGACCTTGAAATTTGCTTAACTCTGTTCTTAAGCACAAAAATTGAAATAGCAAAAAACACGCCACTTTCGATTTGGCTCATTTTCATATATTTTATTGCCTACCATATTCTTAACAACCTGTGAAAAAATTAGAGTGGGCCATTCATAAGTTTTGAAGAAAATGGCACAAATGCAAACGTATGTTAGCACGCGCAGTGGAGGGGGAAGAGTGAATTTCGCCCCACCCCTCCTGTTTTTCGCCAATATCTCATAATATTGATGCGAAATTACTGATGGCTACCTGTCCAGAATTGAATTGCACATCTCATCGTGCAAGCAATAAGAAAATCGGTTCACAACTGTTCTAGTTATAGCGGTGTAAAGTGAACATCCTGTCGCCGCGGCGACGCGGCGACTCGGCAGCCGGCGCCGACCGCTACGCGCCGCCTGAATTGTAGACTGTGCCGGGACGGAACGGAACGGTTCCGTCTTTACATCGCGCTCCTTACCGCTGATTACGTTCGATTCGGGTCAAATTTTGTGAGAAGACTAAGAAATGTACAGGCAATCTTATGGTGAAAGAATTCTGAAAATAGGTTGGTAAACAATTGAAATATGAACGTGTAAACACAAAATTGTGACTGCTGCGTTTCCCGCGTCGGCCGATCCCGCCTCAGCCGGCGACATGTTACTCTTAGCAGGACTCTAACTGCCATATTTATTATCGGATTAACTAGAAATTCCCCATACATACTCAAAAATGTATGTTCTTTCGTATAGTGAAGATCAAAAGACGTGAAGATATCGTTGCGTGATAATGTTTTCGTTGAATTTATTTCATGATGCATTTCCACACGGCTCAAAATTCACCGCAAAATACCGTTTGCCTGAGACACTTTTACAATGGAACGTGCATGCTTGACTACGATGACTATGCATTTCCATTCTCGCAGAGTTTGGGATATCACTAATCAGCAATCATTCATTTCAGAAAGTGTACACAAGCAAGCATGTCTTGACTCTGTCTTTCAAGGTCACGCGCGGTTGCGTGATGTTGATGCATGAAAACGGCGTTTGCCGCGAAAGTTATGAATGGCCCACTCCAATTTTTTCACAGATGGTTAGGAACATTGTGACGGACATAATATGTAAAAATTACTCAAATCGACGGTGGCGTGTTTTTTGCTATTTAAATTTTTCTGTTTTAATTCAAGGTCAAATGCATTTCAAGGTCACTTCAATTTAATTTTATAATTAAAAATCAAAGCCTTATCAATTGCCTACAAGACCCTGTTAATATCATTTTGATACCAGAAAAGGAACCAGAGTTATAAGCATTTAAAAAAATGATGTGTGGCATTTTTGGCTATATTCGATGACCTATATCTCGGCGATACATTATCAAATTTCGAAAATATTACACGTAACTCAGTTTTGAACCATGCCCAGTCTGCCTACAAATTTTCAGAAAAATCGAAGGGGATGACGGATTTCGGTGTTTGATTTGACGTGGAATGCCCCTATTGTCATCCTTCACCTGAAGAGGTTCAGTTTCGCAGGCGGCACCGCGCGCCAGAACCACGCTCAGGTGACCTTCCCCCTGCGGGACCTCGACCTGAGTCAGTTGGGTCGCACCCCAACACGTACACGCTGGTCTACGACCTCTATGGCGTGGTACAGCACCATGGCAGTCAAGATAGCGACCACTACAGCTTCAATTATCCCGCCGACAGCTGGTTCTTAATGGATGACTCTAAAGTGAGAGAGTGCTCTGTCGCCAGCGTTCGAGACGCCACTGCCTATTCCCTGCTGCAGGGCCCGAGAGAGACACGCCGCCGAAGGAGTTTTCACTGGCGATATGGTGCCAAGTGCACTGCCCTGGCGCACGGCGAGTGGCGAACCGCGCTGGCCGGCAGTAGCACGATACGCGCTCCCCCACCCTCGCGGTGGCGGGGCGGGACCGCCAGCAGCGCTGCCACGCGATTGGAACTCGGCAGCCACACTGACGGCTGAGCTGGGACATGGTGGAGGGTAGAGGCCAGAAGGAGGGAGGCGAAGTGACGCGGTGACGGTGTGTGGGGTGACGATAATGTTATGCTGCGCAGCTGGATACAGCATTTCGAAAAATTGTTATTACCTTTGATCATGGAAGTGAAAATACATTAGTGTGTTATTTGTTTTGGAAGTCTTCCACTGAAATCGTGCCCTGGACTTAATGCGGCCAGCTCCGGCCAGAAGCCATGCTATAAGACCGATTATTACGGAGCGAGCGAAGCGAGCGTAGTCTTTCCTTAGATTAACGGAAATTTCTGAGTATGAGCGGCCGGCCGGCCGGCCGGCCGTGCGGACGCTTTTGCGGGGCTTATATCTCAGCAACCACTTGACCGATTTACATGCGGTAATTTTTGTAGGGTAGCTTCATTCCTTCTACCAAGTATTGGACTATTCCCGATGCATGTGGGTGACCCCTTATGCACGTGCCACGTGCAAAACGAAGAGGTGTCAGTTTTGTAATTGTTGCAATATCTCGGTAACTACTTGGCCGATTGCGCTGAAAGTTGGCATGTAGGTAGGCACCCACTAGGCACTGCATATCCATGTGCCAGAGTTGGGGTGCTGCTGCACGTGCGCACGTGCAGGGGTCGTTTCCAGATCTCGAGAACGGCTCGACCGATTGCGCTCAAATTTGGTACACGGTTAGGGACCAGTTAGTAGGGTGCCGTGCACAAGTCAGTTGGGACCCATTTTGCACGTGCGCACGTGCAGGGTGCCGCTCCCAGATCTCGAGAACGGCTGGGCCGATTGTGCTCAAATTTGGCACATCGCTAGAAACCGGTCAGTAGGGTGCCGTGCACAAGTCAGTTGGAGGTACCCCCTCGAAATTTCGCACGTGCAACTTGCAAGACTCACCCCCTCGCTCGCTCCGTTAGTCGCCCCAAAAGGCGCTATACTGGTGTTAATTGGTCACCATAACGACTGTCCATTTGACGACGCTGCATGTCGGACCAGTGCACTGACGGGCCTGTCGGGCTGTCTCCCACTGCTGTTCGCGTACCCATGGATACAACTCCATCCGAGCCTGCCGGCAACCGGTTACCGACGGCTGCCCACACCGTCCAGCAGATAAAACATCAACACGGCGGCTAGGAAAATGACAACCTGTCTTTTACTGATCGTCTTTTAGCAGCCAGGTAATGGAATAGCACCGGCCAGACAGCGCCACAGCCTGACGACTGAACAGTATGGAGACCGAACAGCGATGGCATGAAAATGACGAAATCAATGATGCACATTTTACCCTAATACAATGTCAGTTTGCTAAATATTGACAACTGGCAAGCGAGTTTCGGCAGAAGAGAGCGCAGTAACGATACCAAGTAAAGCTCCACTCACTAACGACCAGTATAGCGCCTTTTGGGGCGACTAACGGAGCGAGCGAGAGGGTGAGCCTTGCACGTGCGAAATTGCGAGGGGGTACCTCCAACTGAGTTGTGCACGGCACCCTACTAACCGGTCTCTAGCGATGTGCCAAATTTGAGCACAATCGGCCCAACCGTTCTCGAGATCTGGAAGCGGCACCCTGCACGTGCGCACGTGCAAAATGGGTCCCAACTGACTTTTGCACGGCACCCTACTAACCGGTCCCTAACCATGTACCAAATTTGAGCGCCATCGGTCCAGCCGTTCTCGAGATCTGGAATCGACCCCTGCACGTGCGCACGTGCAGCAGCACCTCAACTCTGGCACATGGATATGCATTGCATAGTGGGTGCCTACCTACATGCCAACTTTCAGCGCAATCGGCCAAGTAGTTACCGAGATATTGCAACAATTACAAAAAGTGACAACTCTTCGTTTTGCACGTGGCACGTGCATAAGGGGTCACCCACATGCATCGGGAATAGTCCAATACTTGGTAGAAGGAATGAAGCTACCCTACAAAAATTACCGCATGTAAATCGGTCAAGTGGTTGCTGAGATATAAGCCTCGCAAAAGCGTGACCACGGCCGGCCGGCCGGCCGGCCGGCCGGCCGCTCATACTCAGAAATTTCCGTTAATCTAAGGAAAGACTACGCTCGCTTCGCTCGCTCCGTAATTAAGCTCACCATTAAATAAAACACAAAATGATCAAACAGATACATGATAGATACCCAAACCCAAACCCAAACAGATAGATAGATGGATACCCCACTGAGAGCGGTACCGGAGTGCACCGACGCCGTCGCCGCAGTCGGCCACTCACCGGGTCAGTGGAGGAGAGGGCGCCGGAGCCGCCGCCCGTCCAGCTGCCCAGCAGGCGCTCGATCTCGGAGCGCGGGTCGGGCCCGCTGGAGTCGGCCGCCGCTGCTGACGGTGGGTCCGGGTCTGGTGTGGCACGCCCGACACACAGAGACAGAGACACACAGAGACGCACGGAGAGACACACACACCCGACACATACAGACAAGACAGGACAAACAGAGACACAGAGGCACGGGACAAGGTCAGACACCGGACAAACACATCCCACAAACAAAGACACCGGAGAGACACATTCGACACACCATAGACACCGGACAGGCACACCCGACACCAAAAACAAACACACACACACACACACACACACACGCAGACCAGTTAGTGACTGCCAATTGCAGGCGTTCTACCACCAAGAGCGGAGGAAGGGTGTGCTTCACATACGTAGCGTGAGAAGGTGGGCAGTCGAAGCAAGAAAAAAAACTAATATAACAATACCAACACCATAACATCAGCATGGTACTAACTAGTTAGGCGGAACACAAGCAGATAGGAATTGAGCCGTGGTTAGAAATGCGACCCTTATAAAAAAGGATTGTTGCCACTAATAAAACCACTGAAACTAACGTTCCAACAAGGCTCATCCGTTCTAAGGAAACATTAGAATGCAGTTAAATTGGTACACAGAAGGCAGAACAAAGCATCGAGATGCTTCCAGAAATCCATAGCAACTATAAACTCTGTTCCGTTTCGAGTTTGCAGCCGAAGTGCCCTGCTGAAGGCTGTGCGTGATTTCTGTATATACAGCTCTTGCATTTTAAGACGCAAATTCTTGAGCGGAGGAGCGATCTGCCGAAGAAACTCCGACTGCAAGCTTGATATGGAACAGACTATAACTACATAGAGCAACTAGCTAGTTTACAGCACACGACGGAATGTTTCAAGGCAGGTGATATTTGATACATCGAGGCATCGCTGATGCATGACTATAAATATGCTGGTAAATATCCCGACTATACGTGCACAGTTCGTTATTATGTAACAAGAAACAGTCTCAATTATTCATTAATTTGCAAAAAAAAAATGTTTAAGCTGGGATAGGCCTAAGAACATGTTAACCCGCGCACCGACGGGGGGGGGGGCGGATATCCACCCCGCCCCCCTGAGGTTTTTCGTAGATAGCGGGAAAACCGCGGCGAAATTTGGTACGACTGTTCTCCCATCAATTTTACACATGGTGTGCACGTTTGAACCTCTTAACTTTTAAGGTCAGGTCACCAGGTCACTTTGAATGACCCAGCCCCGTCACTTTTCTGCAACTTTGTCACCGTGCCAGAGCTACAGTAGATGTCGGAGGCCTTTGAAAGTCGCAGGATGTTATAAGGTCATTAGTAGCTACAATTTGTTTATCTCGGAATTTTGATATCGATGACCTAAGGTCAGGTCAATTTCTCGACCTCCCCATTACAAGTCAATGGAGGAAAAATAAACTCCCTGTTTTTACCACTAAAACGGGTCGGAATGGCCCCATAAACCATGCATGACTTCATATACGATCAACCTTCACTACCTTGAGGTCTGTTTTGCTGTTGGGCAGCTGTAAGGTCATGTGACGTCATCAAAGGTCATTTAAGTTTTTTTTGCCAATAACTCCGTACAGGAACAAGATACAGCCGCGCGGATGGTCTCATTGTGTTCAGCTCGTCAAGGCGCATCGAATGATATACATGATGACCTCGAGGTCATGCGACCTGAGGTCAACCCTTGTCCGTGCGTATCCCATGCCGTTTACCGCTTGTCGCTATCTTGCTTTGTTCTCGAGATCTCAGGGGGGGGGGGGCGGTCATCCGCCCCCCCCCGTCGGTACTAAGTTGCCGCAGACCCCCGTCGGTGCGCGGGTTAATAATAGTATTCCACAAAATGCCTTTAGGAAGCTGACAATTAAAATCCAGAGAAGAGCGCAGACAATCATGCAGCAGACTGTCTTAATCTCCCCATGCCCACAGGAGCCCCAGTGGCCCGTGTTAGACCTACCCCGCCCCGGACCTTTATGAGACCGTTAAAGACCCGTCCCGGACCGTATGAGACCCGCCCCGGACCGTATGAGACCCGCCCCGTCACTAGCCGGGTCGGTCCTGGTCGGTCCCCGGCACCCATACCGTCATCGGGCAGCTGCAGCCCGTCGTCCGAGTTGGTCGGAGACGGCGCGTTCATGTCCGGCGACGGCACCGGCGACACATCCGGCAGCTCGGGCACCAGCTCCTCCAGCTTACGGCGCACATCGCGAACACGCTTACTGAAGTTCTTGTACGCCTGCCGCCAGAAACGAACCGTCAACTGGCGGACATAGCACTAAGAGAGCACAACGTAATGAAAACAAAAATATTACAACAGTTTCTTTTATTACAGCTTTCACCATACACATGAGCAGGCAGGCAATAAGAAAACAAAGCCGATACAAATAAACTTCTCAGCGGGATAACTGTAGGCCGTCATCTACAACCAAAGACATGACAATCATGGTATGCTCTGACATTCATGCTATCTGTCGGCGATTAACTAGACTCATCAAATCCTGTCGTACAGCCAGTTTCATCCTCCCGTCGCCTCCTCATTCACCCTTGCCACGCCGGTAGGCGCGCGTGTGCACGTACCACGGCCACCACTTTGGCGTCGGTGCGCTGCGTCTCGTAGAAGATTTCGCTGCGCTCCAGCTGCTCGATGAGCTCGGCGCGCTGCTGGATCTCTCGGTCCAGCGCTGACACGTACCGCTCCACGGCGCGCACACCCTCCTCCAGCTCACTGACGAACAGGTTCGACTGCGAGCGGGCTGCCGACACAGAGAGACAGGGCGGGGCGCTAGAGGACCGCCTTCCGGCTCCCCCGAGCCGTCACCGGCCGAGGGAGGTTACTGGCGCTCCGAGTCGCCGTGAAAGGGAAATTGAAAAACAACGCGTGGCTGGCAAAGAGAGTAACGTTTTTTCCCCAAGGTCGTGCAGGACTTACCCTCGATAACGCCACCTTAGTTGCAGGCCGCACGATTAGTAACAAAAAAAAAGCCCAGCCTGAACCAGGGACGCAAAGTCCAGCAGCGGCGATACGAGCGCCCTCGTCTCACTCTCACACCTGACGCTGGGGCCGCCCCGCTGGGGCTGTTCGCTCACATTTGATGTTGTTGCGCAGCTCGTCGAGAGCCGTGTCGGAGACGTGGAACTCGCCATCGTTGATGGCCTTGAGCAGCTGATCTGTCTCCTTCTCGCTTGTCTCCACTTGCCGCACGTGGTTGATGAGATCGCTCGTCTGTCGGCAGCGGGGCGCCAGACCAAGTCACAACGGCGCACATCGACCCGCGGCAGCGCCAAGCGTGGCCACTACATAGTATACAACCTATCATTTTAGCAGAAGGGGTCGTAATCCTAGTGTTGAAATAAATAGAGCATTATCGCATTTCTCGAAGTACTCTGAAAATGGTAGAGTACTTCAAGATCCATTGTATCGGTCGCATGGAAACATGCGTACAGGTGTACACTGTACAGGTGGCCGGATGACATGCAGCTAGGTTCCGACTAACGACTGATATAGTTTGTCATATGGTTTTCTGAATTAACCCTCGCCCCGTTAGGGGCGGGGGACAATCCCCCTGGGGGGCAATTTGCCCCCCGTGGTTTTTCCTGAATAGCAAGCCAAATTTTCAGTACCTTCCCGGGCATCGACACCTTCACACAAAATTTCAAGTCTTAGGTCACCTTAGGTCAGGAGTTATTGAGGTCAAACTGAGGTCATGGTCGAGCAAAAATGAGCAAGACACAAGAAATCTTGAAACGCTCACAAAGCAATTTCAAAGTTCTTTATATGGTCATGCAGAGAAAAGACGGCACTACAAAACTGCTATCTCGGATTTTCAAAATTTTGGTACTGATCCATAAAAATACATAAGTTGATTTTTTTTAAGAAAAACGTTAACAAACAAGTTTTTCGAACTTCGAAAACCGGAATATATGTGATAGTCCCTGCGCTCTTCTATCTACATACCAAATTTGAGATCAACACCTCCTTTTTGCCCAAGCCATGGATGAGATAATAATCATCCATGGCCAAGCTATAGCGAAAACTGATCAATTGATGACGTCAAATTTTATAACACAATTTTTAGCAATTCTAGACCACGTAGCGCAAATCAAAGAACAGCATTGAACTCCCCGTGACGAGCTGCATCGAATCGATACCCATTTTATGCAAAAAATCAACTTTGAAATTTGGCCTAATTTGACCTGACCTTGACCTGGCCTTCACCAGAACATAATCTAAACTGACCCCAAAGGCTGCCTGACCCACATAATCGCATTTGTCATGTAAAATTGACCATAAAAGATGCATCACATGATATTTTCATATTGTGATCCTCAGTGACCTGACCTGGCATCAGTGACCTCAAATAGCAAAATATGTGTTTGACGAACAATTCCCCATCGGCCATCGATGATTTTCAACGACATGCATTTTACTTGATTTTACAGCACATTTCTTGAAATGCCTGTAAACTGTGAAAATTCGACCTTTGACTTGATCTGTGACGCTATCGGTTTGACCGAGCTCAATGAAATTGGGTCACAATGTAGTTCCCCGTTTGGGCTATCCAACACCGTTTGCTGTTTGTCGCTGTGTTGCGTGGCTCTCGTGATCTTAGGGGGGGGGGGCATAATGCCCCCCCACACACACACACACCCAACAGGGCGCGTTGCTCGGCAGACCCCAACGGGGCGCGGGTTAACTGATAGCTATCTTATGTAACCATCATGGTATACATTCTCTGTAATCCGCATGACAGTAAATGAAACCAAATCTACATCAGGTACGCCGGTATTGGACATACAATTATGCACTATATGTATTCATACGAGTACATGAATAAAAGCTGATGAATATGGAAATGGATGCATATTATAATCAGAGCTATGAAAAATCAATAGCGTATGCGGCGCCCTCGGTCACGACGTGGCCCTCAGTCACAGGAGTGCGCAGCCCGGCGTAGGTACCCACCCTGAAGTCAGAGAGGGCCTCGACGCGCTCATTTCTCACTCAAAAGAATGCTAGGATATGGGTGTCATCACCCTGAAGCCGGATATGATCTACGGCCTGAAGTTGGACAAGATTTAAGCGTTCTTACCCTGACGTCGGACAGGATCTGGGCGTTCTTACCCTGAAGTCGGAGAGGATCTGGGCGTTCTTAACCTGACGTCGGACAGGATCTGGGCGTTCTTACCCTGAAATCGGAGAGGATCTGGGCGTTCTTACCCTGAAGTCGGAGAGGATCTGGGCGTTCTTACCCTGAAGTCGGAGAGGATCTGGGCGTTCTTACCCTGAAGTCGGAGAGGATCTGGGCGTTCTTACCCTGAAGTCGGAGAGGATCTGGGCGTTCTTACCCTGAAGTCGTGGAGGATCTGGGCGTTCTTACCCTGAAGTCGGGGAGGATTTGGGCGCGCTTACCCTGAAATCGGGGAGGATCTGGGCGTTCTTACCCTGAAGTCGGAGAGGATCTGGGCGTTCTTACCCTGAAGTCGGAGAGGATCTGGGCGTTCTCCTTGGTGTCCGCCTTGGTGACGTTGCTGACCACGTTGCGCAGCGTGGACGTGAATGCCGGCTCGAATACGCCGCGCTCGTCCCAGATGTTCAGGATGCGCGTGATGGCCGGACGCAGCTTCTCGTCCCTGTGGGGAGGGGCAGCGAGCCAACGGTCAGTGTTAGTCGCAGAGGACTGAGAAATGGCGCTCATTAGCTGTGGTGGTTCCAACTCAATACGGCGCCAAAAGGAAATAAAGTGACTGCAATTCGTAGCATCATTGTGTCGAGAGTTCATGAACCTCCACGAATCATACTATGAAAACATTTACATCAAAGGCGCCTTTAATGTAAATGTTTTCATAGTTTGATTCGCGGAGGTTCATGAACTATCGACACGATATTTGTCCATATTATAACTACAATCGTAGCATCGTCTTGAAATGCGACAATCGATTGTGTATTAAAGTGTATCCGTAAAATGGTGCTTAGGCCAGTTAAACTAACGAAAAAAAAATCACCAGCGGCGGTTATTCTAATATCAAAATGTTGGGCACGAGCTTCCCCAGTTACGCTAAAAAAAAAAAAAATTGTTGATATGCAAAAGAATATTAGCCAGTCAAACTTACTTTCTATACCTACTAGGTCGTTCAATAAGTAAGGTAAAATCACTCGTATTTCAGTCAACCTTTGGTGCAATGACACAAAACTAGCCACATATGTTCATTGAAATCTCGTCTACAAACTGGCTATAAGCATTTATTAGCAGGTCACTTCGGCTAGCCTCTCCAGCCTTCGGAACTCGAACCTACATCCAACCACCGTTCAGGCGCACGCGTTTATCCCAGCACTCCACCCGGGGTTGAAATCCTACTCGGAAAACTCCTTATTGCTATTCCAAAGCCATGTCTTGATTATGTTCTTGATTGCCTGATCAGTTAAGATTTCAAAGTACACAGCAGGTCCAAACAGTCGAAGTGGGACGGCGTCAGATCACGGCTGCTTTCCTGTACTGCTAAAGCAAGCAAAGGCGATCCCACATTGATGCCTCGTTCAACGTCTTTCTGTTGTTCAGTGAGCTCTTTCTGTATTTATCTCGTGAAGACTTTATGCATATCAAGCATATCTGATGATGCCTAGAACTGTTTCGACACAACACTTCACTCTGCAAATGAAAGCAGTCACGCAGATACTTTGGGTCTCCATAATCAGCTCCCCGACTTTACAGATTGTGACAAATCCAGAGAGGCCTGCGGACACAAGTCTACTTGCTCTAGAGTCTAGAACTTTGTCTCTTACACTGCTGTGTTCTTGTTAAAATCGTCGTAGCAACTGTTCGCCAGCAAGCATTGCTAATGGCAATAGCTTCATTGCAGGGTCAGCTCACTCGTTTTGAGGTGAATTTCGGCTCGCCTGACAAACCGGGGATTTCAAGAACGGAACTCTGCTGCATCAATATTTTCATGCCGACCGTGTTCGGACAGTGAGCCAAACTCATAAAAACAGTTTCAAAGGTTGTGTAGAAAATTTTTCAAAGATTCAGATGGTATATTTGATTTTGCTTGAATTCGTCATATAAATGAGCTATGGTACATTTTACCTTACTTATTGAACGACCTAGTATTTGCGGTTGTTATTTCTTGTTGCGTGGTTCGTAAAATTTGTGACCGACTTTAAAATCGTTTGTGTTGTCCCTTTTATTGCATCATTTTGTAACAATAAACCGACTTTTCCAATGTTTCAAATTTATTGTAACATTTTTTGTTACAATAAATTAAAATGGGTGAATTTAGTGAGATTGGTGCAGAAAAAGAAAACATTTATAGTGACATCGGACGATGTTGCAATAAACTCAAATTTTTTGTAGCACGCGATTTGCACAGGTTTTAAACAAACTGAAAAGTCGTCCTACGTCTCCACCCTAGGAGCTTTAATATTGTGATTCTTGAATTGAATATGCTGTTTATTGTAACATCCATCCCGAGTATTTCCCGATGTGGCAGCCTTTCACGTTGGCAAAAGTGGCGCACTAGCTTTTCCAACGTGGCGAGCAGCGTCTTCTGCGACTTCTGCTGCTTCTGCTGGCCTCCTGTGTTAGTGATGTCGTGTTTGTGAAAGGTCTTTGTTTGTACCTGTCTCAGTTTGAATTTTGCAGGTGTGTTCTTTGGCGTGCTCTGTCGTTGGCATGCCGCTCAGCATAGGCACGGAATATATAGTCTACGACAGTCTACTACCCATTGTCTCTCAATTCATTGCGTTAGCTATCACTAGGTGTTGACCGAATAACGTCCCCGGCTGCTTCACCGGGTGTGGGGTAGGCTCCCACTTCAGCCGTATCCTGGGGGAAGGGGAGCAGGAGCAGGAGGAGCAGGAGCTCTCCTGTAAATGGGACGAAACTGCCCGTTTGAGGGAGGTCCGAATACAAAAAAAAAGAGATCTTATATAGATTACAGACAAAGTGAAAACTCGGGCATTTCGCAAAATGCCTAGGCAGTTTGCAAACTCCCTGGCCCACCAGGCATTTTGCAAACTGCCTGACATTATTTTCCCAGGCATTTTGAAAAATGCCCGACATCAAACTCACACCAGCGTATAGGTAAGCATCATTTGTAACTGCCGCTTACAAAAGTTAATCGCTGCCAATGCGCACCAAATGGGAGAGGAAACTGCGTTCTCCGGGTAGCGCCGCCGAGTTCAGGTCACCGAGCCCCAGCGGCCGTCGGGTGCCGAGCACCGGGCGGGGTTTCATTGGTAAACATGCGCTCGGTACAATGATTGCACTGTTTCTAAGAGCCCTTGGTGGCTTTTTGAAAATACTATGGGTGGATATTGATCAGAAAAGAGTATTCTTTCAATTCAAGAAAATTTGATTGTTACACGTTTACATTATCAATCGTATCTGCCGCAACAGTAGCCCACCAGGGCAGAACACTGGACATTGCAGCTTTCATACAGTACGGCTAGAACTCCGTAAATACGAAAGGTACGGAGACGGTGGCTTAAGTCTATTCAGTGGTGGCTCCACCTCGACGGAAGTGACGCAAGACGTAGGTATAGAGTTTCACGAAATGGATGCACGGTTGGCACGGTCTGTTATGTTGTCCCTCCTGAGCGCTGAATGGATGTTATTTTAACGGGTCCGGCACCACGGCATCTGGACCAGGGCACTCAGCATCTAAACCCCTGAAGCTGAAGCTGCTCAACCTCAGGCTGCAACCCTAACTTACCGTTATCCAAAAGTGATGCAGCTGGTTCAATTATGACTGAATGATTTCTATTGAAAAACTAGCTATGACTAGTTTACCAAATGAAAAACTAGCGTGTTTACGATTGAATGAAAAACCAACTTATGTTGACTGAGCTACCTGTCCGCTATTTGATTCATTCCACAAGGTCTGCGCTGGCGATGCCCCTATACATAACTTTCAACAACTATTTACGCTTACAATATGTATGTTACAGGGAGTGTGCGATTCAGAAATCGATTCGCCGATGCTGTGGCTTTGGACAAGCTTTGGAGATTAGTAAACATTAGTACCATTCACTCAACGTTGGCGCCGGAATTCCCGGCTTTGGACCCGGCGAATCGATACGCCGCAAAAGAAGGTAAACGAAGCCGGGTTGACGAGATTCAACGTTCGGGTATGGTACGAAGGTATTTGGTTGTGTGTTGGCATCATTTTTGCCTTTTTCTTTAAATGTGGAACGGGCGTGAGGCTTATATTGAAAAAATAACGTTGCAGCTTGCCTTCGGAAATTGCGTGATAGATGTATGAAGTGCGCCATTCAAGGTGACAATTTCGCCGTTGGCCATCATGAAAATAGTGATGAAGGCTTTTCGCACGTACTATTTTAGACTCACAAGCGACTCTGGAATCATTTATCGAAAGATCGTGTTTGAAGAATCCGGTAAGTCTGAAACCTGCACAGAACGACTTCTAAAATTCGAATTGCGCAATCTTAAAAAAAAAATGAAAAAGGTATAGTTTCCCTTTAATTTGAATCAGGTGACTAGCTTCTAATAGCGTAAAACACAATTATGACGAGTCTGCCCTGCAATTACCCATCTGGGATCGGACACGGGGCTTGGAGCTAGGTAAATTATAAAAGTTGGAAGTCTGCGCTGCGAGTGTGGGTTTTGAAATATGGATATTTTTATGTCGATGTGACCCGTCCCGTCAGAGCCGGGTCGGAGGCGGGTCGGACCGTAGCGTCTGACTCACCTGACCAGCGGCATGGCGCCCTCCAGCACCGTCTGGAAGGACGGCACGAACTCCAGGTTCTTCCGCTTGCTGTACTGGATGACATCGTTGGCCAGGTAGAACAGCGGCAGCCGCTGCTGCACTTTGGCTGCGGAGGAGGCACACGACGGTCAGCTATCGGCACCCGGCGCCCAGTGACTTGGTGAGACATCCGGCCTGCGTTAGTTCATAAAACAAAGGCTACTGACGTGACTGTCTACTGACCTGCTACTGCAGACGATAGCTCATGACCTAGACATGAGTGCCCAACGCACACACACTATGGTGCATCAAACGCCCTTTTCAAATGTCAATTTGACAGCTTTGGCCCGGCACAAATATTAAAGGGACCCTCCCACCTTAACATAAGATTTGAGTTGAGATAGCCAAAATGGGGTCCCTGGCTCACAATTACCGGTTTCGGCACTCACAACATAGAGAAATGCCTTAAATCGGAAATATTGAATTTCAAAATTGCAGCATTTTGATTCAGAGGGGCTAATGCATAGGAATACCCCTCTGAATGTGTGACGTCAGCGCAGATATCTGATGATTTTTAAATGTTTGACTAAAACGTTTTGTAGCACGCGGTGGTATATGCTGCTTTGCGCGCAACAAGTGCCGCACTTTCAGCTGCCAAACTATTGCTTCCAAATAAATTCGCTAGGAACAGCGGAGATCCCAAAAAGTAAACAAAAGTAAAAGTATAATATCTTGAAAACCGGTGAATATTTTTTGGTGAAATTTGGTAGATATTCGTTTTCGCCCTTTCTGAACCGAGCGACATCACTTTCATGCCAATTCATAAACTTTTTTGAAGGTGGGAGGGTCCCTTTAACCCGCGCCCCGTAGGGGAGGGCCGAAACGCCCCCTCACCTGTCCTTTTCAGTAGATATCTCGTGAGCTGCAGCAATCAGCAAACGTAACCAAACTTTCAGGACCCCTCTCAGCATCAATTTTACACATTGTGATTTTTTTCAAAAGGCTACGATAGGTTGGCCACAAATGACTTCAAAAACACGTCATGTTCTGCCATTTTCGACCAAAAAAGGTTTCGCGGGAAGAGCATCCGGCCTACAGCTTTGAAGATACAGAAAAATGTTCTTGACATGAAATATGTAGAATTACCAGGGCTTATAAAAATGTTATATTGGATTTTTTATTTTTACCCCTAAACATAATAAAAGTTTTTTTTTTGACGTATCATGCAGAAAAAAAAATAGAATTTCGAAAAACGGAATATATGTTATAGGGGAAGCGGGGGGAACACCGCCACTGTGGGAAACACCGCCACCCCATCTGGCGGCGAAAGTATGAAATGTGAAGTGTAAAAATCCGTTATTTCCTATTAACCGCACGAAGGTAAGCGTCTTCTGATTTGTGTTCCGGTGTTTCAGTGTAATCGAAGCTCAGTGTGGGCATTTAAAGAAAAATGCACATTCGCTTATAAAAATTCGATGAGTTGGGAGCACTTTTGAATGTCTTTAAGTAGAGACTCATTTTGATTTACTTGATTAGGGGAGAGTGGGGCAAAGCGGCCACCCTAACGCTTCTCGCGATGCCAACGCTTGATTTTTAAACTTGAAAAGATTCTTTCTATACCAATGTGATCCCTATTAAGTTGCCTTTTATTTCAACTGCGTTTTATTTCCAAAGGCGTTCACATATGGAAGATATGGACAAAACTTTAAACCTATGCATATTAGCCACTTTGCCCCATACCCTGGGGCAAAGCGGCTACCGGCATCTTCTCAAGTCCCGATATGAGAAACAAAATAGTTGCCTCTTGTACGACTAGGGTATTTGATGGTGACAAGGTTTAAGCGAGGATGGATGTTTGCTTTGTCAGCATCCCACCTGTAGGTAAACAAAGAAAGGATTTTCATGAAAAAAAAACATTTAATTGCATTATTTGGTAACTCATGCAACTGAAAAGTGGCCAAGATGAATGCTTGACGACGCATTTGAATATAGATCATGTTTTTTATCCAGATAGAAACAACATATGGCCAATTGGGGGGTGGCCACTTTGCCCCGGCCACTTTGCCCCGCGCATACCATTCGAGACAAAAATATTCCAGCTTAGCTAATAGTGGGATAAAAAACATTAAAATTGGTAGAATACATGTACGATAACCATGCAATGCATGGACAAGAACGCTTATAAAAAATTCCAAACGGTTATGGAATAACATGACATTTAAAAATTGTAAACATAGTTGGTAACCTGGCAAGAAATGCTTTTCCGTGTTTCAAAGAACAATGGTGATGGGCCTGAAACCCTGGTCTGGCTCATTCGAACGACCGTGAAGAGAAGTGTAATTGGAAACCATAAATTGGAACTGACGCCAGCTATGAAGGACAAAAACGATGGGTGGCCGCTTTGCCGCGGGTGGCCGCTTTGCCCCACTCTCCCCTACATCGAAAAATAACTGATCGGCTTTGTCCTGTAAGAAAGGTTTGCTTGAACCGTGTAGTACATTCTTGCCGCTGGCGATTTTTGCTTGTGATCACTTATTGGGGAACACCGCCACCCCGTGGCGGTGTTACCCCGATTGAGGTTGCGGTGTTTCCTGTTCGTAGCGTGATAGTGACGAAACTCCAAAGACACGCTTTATTTATGTTCGTAGATGTTCCTAAGCCGGGAATAAGCAGCTTATTTGATTTTTTACTTTATATTTTTCATGCATCCCGACCAAGCACTTGCCAGCTGTATAAAACTGGCAAACAGCTGATGAACCTATACCTATTTAGGTGTCCATTACCGATTATTTGCGAAAATTACCACTTACCGACAGGAAACTCATCGCACGCGATCTCTGAACAATTAAAAGCTTTCGTAGGAATGGGTTGGGTTAACATCAATACCGGTGGCGGGGTTACCCACACAATTTGTAGGCGGCAAATATGCAAGGTATTTTTAAAAGTCGTGATACATGAAAACCTTTTATGTAGGAGCATGCAAAATAAGTACCTAAAACTCGTGAGAAAATGTTTAAATATTGTAACCAAGACAATAACTACCAAGAGACTTCACACATATTCTCTCATTTTGGCGAAAAGCTTAGGGGGGCGGTGTTACCCCCGCTTCCCCTAGCCCCTGTCGTCTTCCATCAACACACCAAATTTGAGATCAATACCTCTTTTCTGACCAAGCTATGGCGAAAAAAAAAACTTCAAAATTGATGACGTCAAATTTTTCAAACAGGTCTTTTAGCCATTCTATACCACGTAGCGCAAAAAAAGACCAGCATTAGACCTCACGTGACAAGCTGCATCGAATCAATACCCATTTTATGCAGAAGGTCAACTTTAAAATTGGACATTATTTGACCTGATCTTGATCTTATCTTCACCAGAACGTAACCTTAACTGGCCTTAATGGTCGCCTAACCCACACTATCGTATTTGCCATGTAAAATGGACCATAAAACATGCATCACACGACACTAGTTCATATTGTGACCCTCAGTGACCTGACCTCTGTGACCTGACCTGGTATCAGTGATCTCAAATGGCAAAATATGTGTTAAACAAACAAGTCTCTCACGATGATTTTCAATAGCATGCCTTCCACTCGATTGTACAACAAATTTCTTAGATTGCCTGTAAACGGTGAAAAATGCGACCTTTGAACCGACCTGTCACATCATCAGTTGGACCGAGGTCAATGAAATTGGGCAAAATGTAGTTCCCGGTGGGGTTATCGAACGCCGTTTGAGTTCTGAAAATCGGTCGATAACTTTCAAAGATCTTGGGGGGGGGGGGGCGAAAGCCGCCCCCCACGGCCCTGAGTATGTAAAAACCTCGGCTTTGACATACGGTAAAGGTTTCAGCCTCCAAAGAAAAAAAAAAACGTTTTAACGGAAAGTGTCTTTCTGCAATAACGTTTGACTCAAAACTTGTCAGGCAACTTGAACGGAGCACCGGCGTATTCTAGATATTAGCGGAAAACTTCATAGGCGTGTTAAACACCTTCCCCCAGCCTGGCAAGGGATAATGAAAAATAAATAGCTTTAGCCTGCTGCCCCCCCCCCTCCCCTCCCATTTTAGCCAAGCGTACGAAAAACAGGCCTCCTAAGCCAGTCTTTTTTATAATATATAGTTACCTAATCAAAAAGACAGCATGCATCTATTATAAACACATGGCCTAAGTCCTAACTATAAACACATAGCCTAAGTCCTAACAGAGCACCGTGGCCCGCAAAAAAAAAAAACTGAGACCACAGCACAATGGACGTTTCAGTGGGTCTAGCCTCTCACTATCTTTCAGCCCTGATAAAGTTGGATCTAGGCGACCTACGCCTACAAATAACACACCAATTTGTAGCAATTTTATTTAAGAACGTGATCGTATAACCTTAACCTTCGCCCCAGTGGAGGGGGGGGCATATGTTACCACCCTGTCGCGTTTTTTGCGTGTGAATAAAAAAACCGCGGCGCGTAGTGCCGCGCCGCTTGGGGTAGCTTTTGGTACATCAATTTTGGACAATGTGTGAAATTTTTGACCCCAGGTCATGTCAGGTCAGGTCACCAGGTCAAGTTAACTGACCAAGCCTAAAAAAGTTTGCAATTATGTTCAGCCTGCAGTGTTTGTCAGAAAGATTTTAAACTTGGTGGATTGCAAGCTGTTATGGGCGCCTACAATTTGTATAGCTCGGATTTTTTATATCCGTGACCTAAGGTCAGGTCAGTGGCGTGACCTTTCCATTACAAGTCAATGGAGAAAAATGAAAATGCCTCTAGATCCGTGTGTACGCATAGGAACAGTCCAAATATCTCAGAATCACAATGATTTGGACCATCCGTGATGACCAAGGTGTCATTTTTGCTGATAGCCTCTAGAACGGTCATCCGAGGTCATTTGAGGCTACAAACAGATTTTTGCCAATAACTCGCGACTGGAAAGAGATAGAATGCTGGGGGATGGTCTCATTGTGTTTGTCTTGTTGAGACGCATCGATTGATATGCAACATGACCTTTTCCGGTCAGGTCATGACCTTGACCTGAGGTCAAATTTTTAAGTTGACCTTTCAAGGTCAAATTATAGTTCATTCGACGCGTCTCGGCAAGAGGAAAACGATTCTGGCAATAGAAATGTCGTGGCT